TCATCCGATGTATGTTATCATACTTATCCATCATCAAGGGACCCCTAGAGCGGAATCATAGTCCTACCTGAAAATTTTGAACCCTTGCATGCTCATGTCCTAGTTTTTTTCTTCCTTGTCTAGTTATTTTGAGACTACTATGGCTCCACCTTATCCTACATTCTCTCCATAGTGTAATGCTAATATGATGATTAAGAGTAAACTTTGGATTAATTATATTTTTTAGCAGCTATGTAAGAATAAAATAACATATGCAAGGTATTTAAAAGAATGCCTGGAACATAGTAAGCACTTAAGACATGGTAGCCAAAGAGCAAGGTAAAAGCAAATATTATGGTATGCTCATAAGTTTCCAGACATCTCTAGCTCAGACCACATTGCTGAGCTCTGAGGGTCGAACTATAAATCCAGATAAATAATGGGCCACAGTAGATGAGTGCAAAGTTAGTTTATTCAGACCAAATGGCTCCGAGACCAGCAACTAAACTACAACAGAATCTTTTAAACATATTAAAGAAAGAATGCTTTCATCAAAAATAAGAGTTGGTCAGAAATGGAAGAAAAGACAACTCTGAGAGGCAAAAATTGAAGGCAATGAAAATTCTATTGGGGTGGTTCTCACAGCTAATGCTATTAAATTACTGCATCCTATATTAATTTCTTTTGTCCTTATTCCAAGCCCCTAAGCTAGCTGCTAAGTTCTCATGTAATTTTCCTACAAAGAAAACTCCTTGATCAGAGAATCAGAATTACTACTTAGCAAATATCCCAAGTATATATACTGATAAATTAGTATCCTGGTAAATTCATAACCTGTGACTGTCAAACATATATACACAGATACACATACATATATCTCTCAAGTCATACAATCACTACTGCATGAGCAAGATTGTGTTTCAATGCCTACAAGACTTAGAATCAATGCTTTTTGTTTGTTTTTACAGTAAAGTCATCAATAAATTTAACAATGATGGTGTCTCGGAGACCAGCAGCATTTTCTTTGACTAGAGCATTATCCATTTAAAACACCAACTCCTCAACGCACACTTTTACTCCTCTATACAGTCTACTTTCTTAAACAGGATGAACTATGCAGGAACATGGTAAAAATAGCAGTATATTCTATTTCATGAGTGTGAGCACTACAATTCACTAGAAATAAAAGTTTTCTTTTAAAATTGATTTTCTAAAATGCTTTCATAATAAAAATCTCACTTACTATCCTGTGCTTTTTGAAAACCGGTTAATAAGTAGATCTTTGAAAATTCTGTGATATTACACTTTTCTTCCTTTCATTTATTCATTAGCTCCCTTATTCATTCAACAAATACTTATTGAATTCATACCATACGCCAGACACTGCACTCAGTCAGAGATGGAGATATCCTGTTGAGTAAAAATTGGCAGTCTCTACTCTTGTGTGTGTAAAGAACTAAAAGCAGACACAATAATTATCACACATAAAGTTATAAAACTACATCTGTCAGTTATTAGCAAGTTAAGGTACATGGCACAATAAAAGTATATTTTTAATGGGGGCATTTAATCAGATCTCTGAGAAAGTGATATTTAAGTTAAGATCTATAGGACAAGGAGACAAAGACTGAGATTAGAACAATCTGGTGCTTGTAAACCAGAGGTGCCTGTATCTACACTCCTCCTCCAGTTCTTCTCTACTCTCTCTTAAATAAAATGCCAATGTGATGACTGTATCCTTTACTCCATCTTCTTTCAAGATTCTCAGTGGCTTCACCCCCACAGTGCTAAATGCAAAGGTTAATTACCAGTCCTCATCTCAACTAATCTAAATCCTCCTCCTTTTTTAACCACTTTCTTCACTCAACTTCTAAAACATCTCACTGTGGATTTTCTTCTCAGTTCATTGCCCACTCTGTATAGTAACCTGTGCAGATAATGCCAAATCAACCCAAACTCAATGGAGGACTTCTTTGTATATTACCAACTATTCTCAGGCTTTAACTGCTATCAAAATACTACTGTGAAACCTACAATTATACCTACAGCCAGACCTTTCCCTTCATCTCCAGACTTATTTATCTAACTACCTAAACCACACCTCTACTTCAATGTCTTTAGAAACACCTCACACTGGCCAAACTAAACACCTGATCTCCCTCCATCTCGTGTACACTTTTGAAAATGGTCCCCAAACAATAATGGTAATTATTTCCTTCTAGTTGCTCTTGAGTTATCACTAATTCTTTTTCTTTCATGTCTCCAATCTGTCAGAAAAATTTGTTGGTTACAGTATCATATTTCTGGACTCTCGCCTCTTCCTATTACCTCCACTTTAATCACCTTGGACCAACTCACCACTCTCAATTCATCTGGATTACTTTAGCTTCCTAACTGGTGTCTCAGCTTTTACACCTATTCTTTATTGTCTATGCACAACTTTTAAAAAGTCAACATTTTTTAAAGTCAGATCATGCACTCATCTACTCAAAACCCTTCAATGACTTCTTATTTCAATCAAAAAGTCAAAGTCCTTTCCATCACCTACATGACCTCCTTCTTCTGTCACCTCACCTTATTCTCCTGTACGTGGTCACGCTGTTCTTTCTCAAATATAAGAATCTAGAGGACTTTGCTCTTGTCAGCAGTTTTTCCCTTCACATGAATGTTCTTCCTTAAGGGATATGCATGACTTATTGATCCTCCCACTCAGGTCCCCTTCATTAGGTCTTCTCCCAACACTTACAAATCAACCTTATTCCCCACAAACTGGCACTCCCTTATTCCTCTCCCCAGGTGGTTCTTACTTTTTTTCCACTGCATTTATCTTTACTATATACATACACATTTGTTGTGTAGGATATAAGCTCTATTAATAGGGACTTTTATATATTTTACTCATTGGTATATTTTCAATGTCCCATTATGTAGTAAGCATTCATCAGGTACTTGTTGAATGAATACATGAAAGAGAATGAGATTACAGAAAATGCTGTATGACTGAAATAGAGATAGGCAGAGTGATAGTCTAAATGAAGCTGAAGAAGTGGAAAACAATCAGCTGATACTAGGTTTTTATAGAGAAGTTTTGCTTTTATGAGCAGTGGGACATAAGATTGATTTATTTATGCATACAGAACTGGGGTATAGGCCAGAGGCGCAGGTGTGGTGAGAGGATTCACCAGAGACAGAGTCGGGGAGCAGAACAGGCAGGTCAGGAGAGGTCTGCTGCACCATATGGGTCACCTCCGGGGTGGGGACTGAACTCATGCTGATGTGGCTTTAGCTTCTTAGTGCTGTGATTTAACCTCTGCGCCACCAGGGAGGGCCCATCACTAAAATTTTTTTAAGAGAAAACATAACTGAACTTGCACTTTGAAAAGACCATTACGGGTGCTATATGGAGAACTAAAAGAGAAGAACCAGAATGATCAATATTGCAATGTCCCTGGCAAGAAAATATGATAGTTTGGAATAAGGCTGTGCATTTATAGATGAGGGGGAAGGATGGACTATTTGGGAGATAAGACTAGCAATACTTATTATGAAAGACATGAAGAAATCAAGTATAAGTCTTACCTTTCAGATTTTCACAAGAGTAAGTATAGTAGTGGCCTTAACCGAAATAGGGAATACTGGAAAAGAATCATATTTTAGGTGCTAAACATGCATTTGATTTTAGGCATGTTGAGTTTGAAATAGATTTAAGATATCTAAAAATAAATATTAAGGAGATAGGTTTATGAAAACTGAAAAGTGAAGTTGATGAGGCTGTGCATTTGAGAGCTGTCAGTGATGATGAAACCACAGTCATGGATAAGATCACATCAACTATGCAATTAAAAGGGGAGCTAGCTTTAAGAAATTACCCTATTCTTTGTGGGTTGAACATAGGAAGGTGAGCACAGACAGTAAATAAAAAAAGGGAATGGATTTTTCATTTCTGTTTTGAAATCATACTCATAGAAACTATTCTCATTTTTTATTCCGATTTAAACCAAAAGGAATAATGTAGCAAGGCTTGCCAAATTAGTCGGGTTCAGATGAATCTATACATCTGTTTTAGAAACTGTCTCTGAAGACCTTCAAAGTACATCAATAAGCCATCAATCACCCCTTCCTAATGTGTATATATTTATATATAATTTGACTTATTGCAGTTTCCTGAAAGTACCAGACTTGTCTCACCTCTAGGCTTGTTCTTTTGTTCTACACTTCCCCTCGATGTAAATTTCCCAGACAGGAGTAAGCGATTTTTCTAGCCATTTCAATGACATACTGTACTTTAATTGTATTAGTAACTGTTGGTTTCTCTAAGCATATATTTTTTTAGACTGTGGTATGTATATTCAATACTCAGGGCCTAACAAGGCTAGATTTTTAGAAACACATCCTTTCTGCAATGTGAAGAATTAAATCAAGTCCAATGACAGCCTTTCGAGCTTGACTTTTCACCTCGACTTAAAAAAAAAAAAAAGCGCTTTATAAAAGAATGCTTGAATGTTTTAAATATACCGAATCCTGGAGATTTGTACTGGTCTGTTTCATGGCTTTTCCGTAAGTCCCACAAAAACTCACGTCTTGGAATACTGGGGATTCTTGTCCACTTAGTCTCATACATCAATCTGACAGCTGGCTTTCAAAGCCCCGCTTGGGATTTGACCGTGCAAATAAAGAACATCCAAACGCAATGGCAAGGCAGAAGTGCAACTTGCACAGTAATTTCTAATCTATCATGCGCGACTCCACAGAACCTAGGAGCACCCATTTTCACATCATTCCTTTCGCCTGGGCTTAATCTGCTCCCTGTGATCTTGGAATCGCAACCATTCCCAATTTCTCCTCTCAAAGTGTCCTGAGGCTTACACACCCGAGTTAGTACTTCCCACACAAACTGCTGGGGCGAAAAAGCCCTTTAGAGAGCTTTCTTAAATGGCTTCGTCTCCAAAATTCTCAGAGAAAATGGAGGAAGAGAAAAACCCTGTAAAAGGAAAACTGCCCGCCAAGCCCACAGAGCTCACCAACTCCACGCTCTCAATCTCCGTCTCCGTTAACCGTTGGCTTCCACGCCGCCACAGGCAACCGCGCAGTGGCTCCTGGGGGTTGTAGTTCTTGTCGCAAGCAAAACGCGCCGGTCACGTCAAAACTACATCTCCTAGAAGTCAATGCGCGGAAGCCCCGCCTCCTGAAATCTGGGGTGTGGCGTAATCAAGAGTCCGCCACTATTTTAAGGTTAATCTTAAAACTTAGATTCAGTGTCTGTAGGAGTGCCTCTCGCCCCCTTTCCTTGTGATTGTCTTGACTGTGACAGTCTCCGTGTATTTCACATTCTCCCCGTTACTCTCTTCCCTCTTCCAGTTCAGAGACTCCAAAATTCGACACACGCAAAACAACCCCCGCGGTGCACTTCGGTGTCGCGTAAGGCGCATGCGCCCTGCTGCTCGTTACGCATGCGTAGCAACCGGCAGCGGCTGGCGGCAGTGCGCGGACTTGGGGTCTGGAGGTAGCCTGCGGAGGGCGGGGCTTTTCCAATGGCTTTGCCTCCGCGGGTCGCGTCTGCCGGGGCGGGGAAGAGGGCGCTGGGGCGGGGGCGGCTCCTCGTTTGTGCCGGGCGGAGAAAGGGGAGGGACTGGGGTGAGGACCCCATCTCCCCTTCCTGCTCCCGCCCTCTGGGCCGAGCCCCATCGATGGGGCTGGGCGAAGGGGCGGACTGTGCGCCTGGGGCTCTACGGCTCCTCCGGCTCCGCGGCCCAACCCTGCACTTGGAGATCGCGGGGCCGTGCTGTCCTCTCCGGCTTGGCTGGCGGTGGGCTAGGACGCAGAGATCGGGACCGAAGTCCTGTCTGTCCGGGGGACTGGAATCAGCCGGGCGGGAGACCCTTCCCAATCTACGCGACCGCCGAGGAAAACGGAAAACGCCCCCGGCCGGGGCGGCTGAGTGTCCAGCAGCCGCGGCCAGCAAGCGGGATCCTGCGCGCCCGCCCGGCCAGCGTCCAGCCGGCAGCTGAGACGCGGGGAGGAGCCGCGGAGGGCGGGGACTGGTGCCGGAGGAGGGGCGGGGTGGGAACGCTCCCGAGAACACGGTGGCTGCACAGACAAAAAACCCCCGAATGACTGGAGAGCGTTCAACTGTTACCAGCCTTTTGGGGCCGAGCACGGATTTGACAGCTCCACTGCGTGAGGACATTCACTGACCCCGAGAGTCTCAGGAGACCACTTCTCCGAGATCGCTTGTCAAGCAAAGCCAGCGCCGTGTAAGGTTTCAACTTTCCAACTTTTTTTTTTTTTCAGTCTCTGACCAGAAGACTGTCCCTTCATATCTTTTGTAGCTTGTAGATTGCTTGAAAGCCATCAATAGAAAAGACATACCTGGTTGCAAATGTCGCACGGACGTGTGTTTTCATGACTGTTCTATTCTTCTGGTTTTATTTTTACATTTCTCGTCTTAAAAAATACAAAGTGCTTTTGGGGACATGTTGAAAGGTAACTGAAGACCGCAAGGAAAAGCTCCAGTTGTCATGGCTGAAGGAGAGAATGAAGTGAGATGGGATGGACTGTGCAGTAGAGATTCAACTACTAGAGAGACAGCACTGGAAAACATTAGGCAAATCATTTTGAGAAAAACTGAGTATCTTCGTTCGTTGAAAGAGACACCTGGTCGTCCATCAGACGGGCTTTCAAATGTTGTTCCTTTGGATGGGTTGAATAAGCTTCTTGCTCACCTGCTCATGCTTTCTAAGAGGTGTCCCTTTAAAGATGTAAGAGAGAAAAGTGAGTTTATTCTGAAGAGTGTCCAGGTAAGGAAGAATATTTAAGTACAACCCTCTACCACAGTGAAATTTTACTCAAAGTTATTTGCTTTGTGTTTGCTTCCAATAAGTTTTTATGATATAAACTCATGAATTCATTCTGCATCCTAAATTTAATGTGTTGTGCAAAATACCGAAATTAGGACCCAAACTGACAAGATGAACTAAAGTAGAAACAATTTGCAAACATAAACAAGTCTTTTTTTGTCTAGAGAGTTGTAGGCAGAAACTGCATTCCTTTTGGAAAACGTGAAAGTTAGATATAATTGCAAGTAAACATTTTCATTTCCTTATATTCATTTTTACATGTTGGGAAGGGTAGCCAGTATGTTTTTCACATTGTTTCTAACAGTGTTCTGTGGAAAGTTTCAAATTTCAAAGCCTCTAAAATGATAAAAGGGTATTAAACGTTTCCTAGCTTGTTCAAAATAATTAGTGAAACGCTTTTCTCTTGTTCTTAAAACAAACCAGGGTGTCTTCTCTAAAATGTAGCTTTTCTTCAAAAATAATTACATAGAGAAATGAAAGCTTGTGTTAAAAAGGAACTGACATCTTCATATTCAAAACTTGGATCCAGGTGGAGTATATGGTAAAAAGACTTTCATGGTAAATTGCTCAATCAGCTTTTGCTGTGTTTGCCTAAGTTGTTTGTTTCTTTTTCACATATATGCCTACTTAAGCTGTGAGTAAAATAGATTAAAAGTACAGCTTTTCACCTGTTTTGTACATAATCAGCTTATCCTATTTTGTTAGAAGTGGCTTTTTTTTTTGAAAGGTGAATTTTGTATATTAAGAACAGTCAGTAAATATTCTTTACATTTTTTATAATTATTCCACATGTATTGTTCAAGGTCATATTGTGAGAAGTTTTACGATTTATAATTTACTTGGGTATATATATGAGCTAAGATGGATAGTTTTTCTATTCTGGTTTGAATTTAATATAAAGCAATAATCTTGTCCATAAAATGAAGACTGCTCAAGCTTTTAGGATGTTTCTCAAAAAACATATTGGAACATTTGGAAACAATTGTTATAATTCCTTTATTTTGAGTTACTAGAGAAATTAATATTCTTAGATACCTTAGGTTTACCCTTTTAAATATCAGAAATTATTTCTCTTTTAGGCTTGTGACTATAATAACTTTCCCCCCCACAATAGGGTCATCATTGTGCACCTCAATTACTGTCATAAAGCAGAGGGTGGAGTATATATAGGACTGACCCATGAATTTTTTTTTTTAATTTTGTATTGTTTTCATCGTCTTTTGTCCCTTTTCTTTGTTAGTATCCTCCACTTTCTCTTTTCTAAACTTATCATTTTGCTGCTTATTTATATTAAAATAGGAACCAGATAACGGATTTTATTAAGAGTTATATTGAAAACAGAAGTAATTAGACTCTGGGGAGTAAAGGGTCAAGACTGTGATATAATGGTAAGTAAATGGCTCCTGAAGTCAGACAAGCCTGGCCTCAAATTCTATTCTTTCATTCAAGTATTTCTTAACCTTGGACAAGTTACTTGACCTCTTTTATCTTGGATTTCCACATCCATAAAATGAGAATAATATCTCTGAGACATTGAGAGAATTACGTGAAATATATACTCTAGTATGTAGTGGACACTTTGCCCTTTCATAAGTGAAATACATGGACATTGTAATCTATATTTCAATCCTCATTCATCCTCTTTACTGTGAAAATCTCCCATAGGCTTATGGTCTTTTTCATCTCTGCATCTATTGCACTTTATTCCTGCCACTTTACTTTAAGTAAAGTGCTGCTATAATCATATGTTTATGTGTCTGTCAACCCCAGGAGGGCTACAAGTTCTCAAGAGTATTGGCTGGGGCATGGAAGCTACTAAATACATATCCAGTGGATGAACAAATTTATATGTAACTTCTTTTTGTTCCTTATCAGCCTGATTAAATGAAGCCAATAGATTAGGAAGTTTCTATCCTCACATTCATTTGTGCCTGCATTCAATAAATGTTCATTGAGCCACTGATGATTGACATTCTAAGAACTGAGAATAGTCCTTACACTCTACTGAAGGGAATAGACGACTAAGAAATAAACAAGCAAGTAGATAACTGTAATTTATCTATTAAGGTAAGACTTCCCAGAAGAAATGGTTTTTAAGGAGAGGTAAATGAATAGGCAAAATGAGATTTGTAAGGGGGATATTCCAGATACAGGGAACCTTAAAAGGGTGAAGGCCTCATGGCAAGAGAGAATAGATAAATTCTAGGAACTGAAACAGTGTAGTTGGAGTGTACCCTTTAAGTGAGTGTGAAAACTTAAGAGCACATTCTCTGAATTTAAACAGACCTGACTACAATATTAGCTTGGATAAATTGCATATTGTCTTAGTTTTCTCATCTGCAAAATGAGGAGGATATTAATAGTTCCCACTTAAGAGGTTACAAAACAAAATAATGCTTGCAAAGCATAGCACATAATAAATACTCTGTAATCATAAGAGTTTTTACTGTTTTTAGTAATGTCAGATAACAGAATCTTATAAGCCAAAAATTGTAGATTTTGTTCAAATAACAATAGGAAGCTAGTAAGGGTTTTTTTTTTTAATGGTGAAAAATAATTGTGTTTAGAATTAGCCAGTAAGACTCAGTTTAGGTGATCCCAGTTTTATTGGCAACATCCAGAGCATCACCGTCAGTAGCCATTTGAACATAGGCCTTCTCTCCATCAGGTCTGGTCAGGGTGTTGACCTTGATCACCACAATGTCATAGGGTTTCGTCACAGTCTGTTTGGTTTGGTTCTTGTTGGCCTTGACATCCACAATGAACACAGTGTTTTTGTTGCTTGTTTTCTTCATGACTGACTCAGTGGTCCAGGGAAAACTTAATGATGGCAGAGTGGTCAAGCTTGTTTCTCCTCGGGGCGCTCATCTGAGGGCATTTGGGTTACCTTTAGAGTCACGATGTCTTGGGCCCCTGAACAGTGGCTGAAGTTCAGATCTTTTTCTTGTGGCTGTGAATGCCATTCAGTACTGCATTCTTGGCCTTCAAGTTTTTGCTTTGGCTTAAGCATTAGGAGGGGTGGGGACTTCCTTCTTTACTTTGGGCATCTTCTTTATGAAAAGCACAAAGGGCCTTGAGCAAGATGGTGAAATGTTCTGTGATATAATAGAGGGATAACTTTGGAATCAATGTGGAGGATGAGTTTTAGACATGAGGAGTAGATGCACGGTATCAGGAGGCTGTTCCACTGACTCAAACCAAAAAATAATGGTGGAGTAGAATATAGTGGGAAAAGCGGGGAAAGGTGAATGGATTTTGGAGCTATATAGCAGTTAGAAAGCAAAGGATATAGTATTTGATTTGCATATAACTGAAGAAAGTATCAAAATCAAGGCTGATTACTTTTTTGGCTTGAATTACCTGGTAAATCATTTCCTGAGACAGAAGAGTGTCAGAGGGCTCTTTAAGGGGGGAATGAGATTAAATCATCTAGTGTGCATTTATTAGAAATAACTACTGAAGGAATTTCTGCTTCTGCAACCACTGTTTTCACTTTGCCATTGTTACCCCTCACTTCTCCAGACTTAACTTATCCTCCATATTTATAGCCATCCTTTACATAACTGCAGAGCCCTTTATCTACAATAAATATCGGACAGTGTAACTCTCTTGCTTAAAATTCTTTAGAATTGGTAGAATCTAAACTTCTTAGAAATGTAACTTAATACCCAACATCGTCTGGCTTCAAATTACCACTCCTGTCTCCTCATATTCTAGCAACAGACTCACATGAAAATCAAATAATTCAGATGTAGTGCTCTGAAAGTGCTTTCTGTTATTCATTAGTAAAGCCCCAAAAGCTGAACTGTATTTGCAATTCCTGCAGCTGTTTCTGAAGGCCCTTAATTGCTAAAGGTCAACCCAGAGGATTCTCCTCATCAGCGAGTGATGGTAAGGCAGAGGTGAAATGGATTCCACTCAAAATGGCTAAACCTGTGGAGGAAAAAAATGACAGTGTCGGAAACAGCATTTTCTGGATTCCTATTCTAAATCTATTGCTGTCAGTTCAACATACTTAAACCTGCTTAACAGATTATTTGAAAACTATTCTATGTCAAGGCATTATGCTCTGGAAGATCAGTAAGATTGGGTCCTTGCTTTTGAAGGTCTTCTATTCTCACAGGAGGCTAATTTGGACTTTTTTTTTGGTGGTGGGGGGGGTGGGTTACATTTGACTCCCTTTAGCAAGAGAACAGAAATGTTAACACTGGTCCAATATATTAAAACAGTCTTTGAGTAAACTATAGTCTTTGTGCTGTTTATGATTAATATTGTGTGTGTCTACACATCAAAAGATGATGAGTATCCAGAATAGCCAAATACTTTTCCAGGAATGGTCATTTTGATCATTTTCGTCTGTACTGTGGAAGAGGAGAACTTAAATTTTTATAAGCTTGCCAGCATATTGTCTGAAAGTAATTTGACTTAAAATAGAATATAGACTAATATAGACTAAGTAACAAAGTATATCTCTGTTAAAGAATGGAGGAAACTTTCATTTAGTGAAGTGATTGTTACCCTCCCAGGGAGAAATGAAACCTGGACTGTTGATTATGGGGCACATTTACAGTGGTTAGAGTTGTAGTTGGAATATCCAGTTAGATCTAATTGAATAACGTAAAAATTTGCACATTTAATAATAAGAGGTTTATTATTTGTATAGTAATTCTGGAGGCTGGCAGTCTTGAAGCTTCGGTGTTTCATCAGCTGAACTATGTTACCTTTTTTGCTTTCCATGTTTTTTGTCTTTTTTTCCCCCCTGCATAACAAGTGCTGTTTCCCCTGTGGCTGCAATATTGCTACAGCAGTTCCAGGCACCATGTGTAGTTATGACTGCCTGACATCTTAGAAGAGTTTCTTCCCATATGTCCATCAGGGAAGAAAAGCTTTTCCCAGAAGCCCTCCAGCAAACTTCCTTAGTTTCTATTGACCAGGTTGGG